CATCAGAAAGAGCATTTTTAAATCTGTCTTGAAGTACAGTGCTATCTGTGATAGCATAATATCCATTCGTCTGTAAGTAGCTCTGGTAGCGTAGTGGTTATGAATTGGGCTGCTAACCTCAAGGTCAGTAGTTTGAAACTACCAGCCATTCCACGGGAGAAAGATGAGGCTTTCTGTTCCTGTAAAGATTTACATCCTTGGAAACCCTGTGCAGGGTCACTATGAGTCAGAACCGACTCCATGGTACTTAACAACAACAACATAGGGAAGACCAGTTGATAAAACTATTATTCAAATTCCCACACCTACTACTATACCCAGTGATTATGAAATTAAAGTTTTACCAAATTCGTCAGTCTAAAATTGATCAAACATGCAATCAAGATGCATTGATTGGAATGTCTAAATTGGAAACAGTAGGAAAGGATCAGTAGTTGGAAAATATGGTCTTGTTAAGAGTAATGAGAATTGAAGATGCTTGAAATCAATTAGTCCAGTGTGCTAGTTGAACACGTGAACATACATTTCCTGATCCTGAGACCAGAATTAAATGGTACCTAGGTACTACTACCAACTGCTCTGAAAGGGATCACATTCAAGGTCCTGGGTAGAGTGGGTTAAAATGTGGGAAAAAACTCAAAATTATTAAAAACAAAACAAAACCTCTGGGTTTACTGTTCATTAAGAGACTGGAGGAACCTGAGACTATGGTCATCAACCACTCCTCAGGTTTGGAAAGGAATTCACTCTCATGGTCCAATTTTCAGCCAAGCAATATATAAGTATATAGTGGCAACAAAAACACTAGTAAGGTATGATCATTATGGAATGGTCAATCATTCCAAATCAAAAGGGCAACATAAGCCTAAGGAAAAAGTTGAGAAGGGATGAGAAGTTGGGTGGAATGGAAATAGGAACCCCAGGGAGGAAGTGAAATTACTCTTACGCATGGAGGGGATTGTAATCATTGAGATGAAACAAAGTATATGATTTGTTGAATGTAAAACTGATGAGCTTTTCTGTAAACCTTCACTCAGTTCACAATAAAAAATTTTTTAAATAAAATAAAGAAATAGAAAATATGGCCTTGGTGACAGAAATGGTGCTGGGGATCGCATGATTGAATTTTGTAAGACAAATGACCATTGTAAATACCTTTTAAAACAACATAAAAGGCTGTGCACATGGACCTCACTAAATAAAATATGCAGGAATCAAATTGACTACATCTGTAGCAAGAGTTGGTGGAGAAGTTAAACATTATCAACCAAAACAAGACCAGGTGCAGACTGTGCAACAGGCCACTAGTTGCGTCTGTGCAAGTTCAGTCTAAAGTTGAAGAAAATTAAAACAAGTCCACGAGAGCCAAAATAGGACTCTGACTACATCCTACCTGATTTTAGAGATCTTATCAAGAACAAATTTGATGCATTAGACATGAATGACTGGAGACCAGAAGAGTTGTGGGATGACATCAAGAACATTATACATGAAGAAAGTAAAACGTTATTAAAAAGACAGGAAAGAAAGAAAAGACTCAAATGGATGTCTGATGAGACTCTGAAACTTGCTCTTGTGTACAAAGAAGCTAGAGTGACTGCAAGAAATGAGGAAGAAAAAAGTTGAAGAGAAAAATTTAAAGGGCAGCTCAAGAAGACAAAGTCAAGTATTTTAATGATATATGCAAAGACCTGGAGTTAGAAAACCAAAAGGGAAGACCACTACTCAGCACTTTTCAAGCTGAAAGAACGGAATTAAAAATTTAAGTCTCCACTTGAAATATTGAAGGATTCTATGGGCAAAATGGAATCCTGACATGCATTTGTAGGATAAGCACTGGACTGCTAACCACAAGTTCAGTGGTTCAAACCCACCAGCTGCTTCTTGGAAACCCTATACAGGGTTTCTATACAATAACAACAGTGAGCAAAATAGTGATGCAAAAGCACACAAAGAAGATGAAAGAATATGCAGTTACTATACAACAATGGAGTCCTGGTGTGGTGCTGTGAGCTAATTCGTCAGACTGCAAAGTTGTTTGAACTGCATGGTCGGTGGTTCAAGCTCACCAGCTGCTCATTGGAAACCCTATACAGGGATGCTATGGGTTGGAATCGACTTGATAGCACTTAACAATACAACAAAGAAATGGTCAAGGATGATCATATGATCTAGAACCAATGGTACAGAAGGAAGAAATCCAAGCTGCACTGAAGGCATAGGTGAAAAACAAGGCTCCAGGAAGTGACAGAATACAAATTGAAATCTCTTAACAAATTGATCCAGCCTTAGATGCACTCATTCATCTCTGCCAAGAAATTTGGAAGACATCTACCTGGCCAACTGTGTTTGTGCCCATTCCAAAGAGTGGTGACCCAACAGAATATGGGAATCAAGCAATATCATTAATATCACATGCAAGTAAAATTATATAGATTTGGCTGAAACAGAGACTACCAGAAAGATGTTTACTTGTGCTTTGTAGATTCTGCAAAGACTTTCAACTCTGTGGATCATGACAAACTATGGATAGCACTGCCAAGAATAGGTATTCAAAAACACTTAATTGTACTCAAGAAGAAACCTGTACTTAGACTAAGAAGCAGTTGTTCAAACACATCAAGGGGCTAGTGAATGGTTTGAAATCAGGAAAGGTGTGTGTCAGCATTGTAAACTTTCTCCACACTTATTCAGGCTATATGCTGTGTAAGTATTAGATGCTGGATTATATGAAGAAGAACATGGCATCAAGATTGGAGGAAGATTTATTAACAATCTGTGACATAAAGATTAACTATCTGTGATGTGCAGATGATACAACCTTGCTTGCTAGAAGCTTGTTGTTATTAAGTGTTGTCAATTTCAACTCACAGTTACTTTCTATAGGGTTTCCAAGAAGCATCTGGTAGGTTTGAACTGTCGACCTTTTGATATACAGTACTGATAACTAAAAGGTTGGCAGTTCAAGCTAGAAGCTAGGAGGATTTTAAATGATAGGATCAAACACCACAGCCTTCAATATGTGTTGCATTTTGATGTGAGCATTGCTCACAACTGTATCAATCAATAACATGATAAATGGAGAAAAGATTGAAGTGGTGAAAGACTTCATTTTAATTGGATCCACAATCAACACTCATTGAAGCAGCAGTCAGCCAAGAAATCAAAGGACATACTGCACTAGGCAGATCTCTTGCAAAAGACCTCTTAAAAGTGTTTAAAAGCAAAGGTTGTTTTTGACTGAGCTGAAACCTGACCCAAGCCATAGTATTCTCAATCGCCACATGTGCATGTGAAAGTTGAAATATGAATGAGAAAGACAGTGGAAGAAATGATGAATTTGGATTATGATGCTGGTGAAGAACATTGAAAGTATCCTGGAATGCCAGAACACCAAATATATCTTAGAACACCAAGTCTTAGAAGAAGTACAGCCAGAATTAGAACCTTATCTTATGCTTTGGACACGTTATCAGGAGGGGCCAGTTCCTGGAGAAGAACATCATTCTTGGATAAATGCAGGATCACTGAAAAAGAGGAAGACCCCCATCAAGAAGGATTGAGATGGCAGCAGCAACTATGGCTCAACAAAAACAACAATTAGGAGAATTACTCAGGACTAAGAGTGTTACGTCTGTTGTGCATTGGGGTCGCTGTGAGTTGGAACCAATTCAGTGGCACCCAAGAACAACAAAAAGAAGTTTGGGCCATAGATGTTCTTAATGCATTTATTAAAAACTCAAGGTTATAGTAATGGCTTTTCATAGATTTATTAGGACAAAACCCACTATTTATGTTTTCAACCACATGCCTAAATATCCTTCTTCTTCATAGTCTCTAGGTGAGAAAGCTGTTTGAAATTGGGGTTTATCTGGTGTGGGTGAAAATTTCCTTGATAATAATGTGAAGATTAGGGATTCATGGAAAGATTAATCACTTTGAAAAGATAGTATGCCAGCTTGTTATCCTATTGTAGTTTTTGCTGTTTTCTGTGGTCTGTGCCATGTTCCTACTTGCTCTTTATTTTATTCTAAGCATCTCTGAGGCAGTTCAGTAGTCACATGTGACCCTGAAGGCAAGCTTGGGTACTTTTGTAAGAGTGTAAAAGCAATCTCCAAACATCTGTAAATGGTGTTTATGGCTTACATCTCTGATTTATCTGATCAGATGTTTCAGAAGAAAATTATGTATTGTAACTTGTTTAATACCCTAAAGCCAAAAGGGGAAAACATATAGTGAAAGAGAAACCTAAAATATCATATGAACATTATTTCTAAATACACTATGGTAGGCTAGGATCAAGGCAGATGCGGCAGACAATTTTGCTATTGAAATCTCTTGATTTAGCTGACATGTATCACAGTTTTACCCTTACCTAAATGTAATATTTGGAATGTTAACGTCATTTGGCTGCTGTATGAGACATCTTGTGTGAGCATTTGTAAATGTGCCATTGTGGAGCTCTAAAGCTGTGAATAATGATGCACTGAAATTATAGCATAAGAAAGAGTTGAGTTTTATATGGCTTCTATTTTAGAGTTATTAACTATATGAAGGAATAAATGTCTTTTAAATATTTTAAAACATTACAAAACCCACAATGTAAAGTTGCTATGAGGCAGCCAAAAATAATACATATGGCATTCAGGAGAGCAGTTGCTAATTGGCTACTGCCTGAGAAAATGGTACACTTGGCATCTATTTAACACTGTGGGTTTGGCAGAAAGCCAAATTTGGGGTCAGATTGTTGTGAATGAAGCTGCATGTGGTTAGGGAGGAGTTAAAATGATTCATGTCTTCGAAGTTGTAGTACACTAGCAGCATATATGGCTAAGGGTGTCCGGCTCCTTTCACTGCCTTTACCCACTGTACCACATGTGCATCATAAATAAGAGAAGTGTCCATGCTGCTTTTGTCATTCCTGGGGACTAAGTGGTTGCTTTTCAAGTATTTTAGTAGCTGGTCTTAAAGGGTGCCTTTGAAATTATCTTTTTTTACAGAAGGAATCTGGAGAGGAGGTAGAAGTTGAGGAATTCTATGTGAAATACAAAAACTTGTAAGTACATTGTAATTTTTTAAAATTTATTTTTTAGATGGTATGTAAGTTTTGAAAGTACTGGACAACTAATTGTAATTCTTGAACAATATGATAAACTAATGTCACTGAATTGTACACATGAAGAATATGGAAATGTCAAACAATTTTTTACATGCATATTTGTCTCAATTTAAAAAATAAAATAAAAATATTTGGGGATTGGGAGATTTTGGTATGGTTTATTTAGTGTTTTGGAGACCATTTACTACTATCTTTAGTACTTTGATGTTTTATGAATTTATATTTTCTGGAATAAGCATAATTGATATACAGGGTGATTGCCTTTTTTGTACAATAAAGAAGTTCTTTTTAGAGGGAATCAAAATACACAATAAGAAAATATAAGTAAAATAATATTTGACTAGCCACAGAGAGGATTTCCTTTCTGGGGTTATACTCCTACCATCTGTCTTTATGTTTGTGTAGAGAGCTTTACTGTCTGATGAAGGCTCTGGAAAGTCATAGGTGTCATGAGTTTTTTAAATGCAGTAAACTAGGATTTTGCTTATCTGGTTTTTGTTTGTTTCTTATCTTTTTTACTTAATAGTGGATTTGAATTGCATGGTTTTTTCAAAGACTGACTTGAAAACTAATAGCAGTTGTTGTCTTTGTAGAATCCATATTGGAGATCTAGGCAGTGTACCTGGTACAGATACAGTTTCATCTTAGCACTCTGCAAGAAGAGTGGGAAATTACTTGAGGCAACTGCTAAAGTTCATTGCTTTTGTCAGCATTTGACTGAATCTTTTGATCATCTTTTGCCACATGATAATTAATGTCAATTTGTATGCTCTAGATTCTTCTTACTTGTGAAGATGTCTGAAAACAGCCTCAGTTTTAGGTCCATGAAGCTCATTTAAAAGCTTATTGTTTTTGTTAGACTAGGTTTAATCTTATTCTAGATTCCATGAATGAGAAATTTATCACGTTTTCTAGTCTTGTTCATGATGACATGACCCTTTGTTAAGCATCAGCTCTTTGATTTGGTTTGGCAAAGAAGCACTGTTCTGGAATCAAGAGAAGTGGGACAAATCCCTTACCCTCTTTCCTTAGATCTTGAATCCTCACCTCAAATGTAAATGTGTTTTTACTGAGTATATCAGAGGTTTTTTTTAGATCTGTAGCTTTGTGTTTATCACAGAGGGACATAAGGCTGCATAGGTGTTGCCCTCTTATTAAATATCTCTAAAATAGCTTTGCAAAATATGCCAAAGGGTACTAGTAAGTTAATGTTAAACGTATTTTCTGTACTTCAGTGTCAGTAAATTATTTTTATGAATCTATGAAAGTTTTGGTTAGGAATTACTTAAGTACATGGGAAGGCTGTAGTAACAAATACAGCAAGTTTTGGACTATTTTAATGAGCCAACATAGTTTAAAAGATTAGTGATCGTAATATTGAGGAAGACTGAAGTAATTCTCTTCCCTTAATAACAACTACAGAACAAGGTAAAACATTTTCATTGGTTGTTGTTGTTAGGTGCTGTCCAGTTGATTCCAACCCATTAGTAACCCTGTGTACAACAAAACAAAACACTGCCCAGTTCTGCACCATCCTCACAATTGCTGTTACACTTGAGCCCATTGCTGCTCCCACTGTGTCAATCAATTTCATTGGGAGTCTCCCTCTTTTTCTTGGACCCTCAGCTTTACCAAGCATGATGTCCTCCAGGGATTGGTCTCTCGTGAAAATATGTCTGAAGTAAGAGAGGTAAAGAGTGACCATCTTAGCTTCTAAGGGGCATTCTGGTTGTATTTCTTCCAACACAGATTTGCTTGTTCTTCTGTTAGTCCCTGGTACCCTTAATATTCTTCTCCAACACCAGTCAAATGCATCCATTCTGCTAAGGTTTTCCTTATTCGTTGTCAAACTTTCACATGCATATGAGGTACACCTTGGTTTGAGTCAGGTACACCTTGGTCCTCAAACTGACATCTTTGCTCTTGAACACTTTAAAGAGATCTTGTGCAACAGATTTGCCTAATGCAATATGTCGTTTCATTTATAATATGAGCAATAGTTCTTATGTTTCTTTTGAAACAAAGAACTCAAGTACCATAGTCATAAATTCTTGGGTTTAAAGAAACACTTTTGTGAGTTGGGGTCAAAATAGCCTACGAAAACATAGCCTACCCTGTAAATGTAAGCATGGGCATCATGGCTCCTGTCTTACTGCCTTTTTATAGCTGTTACCATGTTAAATGGCATTCTGGTGTGGTGCTGTGTGCTAATGTGTCAGACTACAAAGTCATTTGAAGTGCAAGATTTGTGGTTCAAGCTCACCAGCTGCTCTTTGGGAAACCTTCTTACAGGGTCACTATGAGTCGGAATCGACTCGATGGCACTTAACAACAACAACAACAACAACCATCTTAATAACTAAGGCAGTGCTAAAGAGGTTTTATGAGTAGAAAGCAAATAAGTTTTTCTGTGATGTGAGAGCTTGGTAAAATACAGTGTGACAATCAAAGCTGCTCAATAAATATTAGTTAACACTGTCATTTTGTCCTCTTGAGTACGATGAGTTCAAACAAATGGAAATTATACATAGTACATGATTTCATACATCTGTGTAAGGACAGTAGTGAAGGACTCATTCATTAGGAGTAAACAAGCTGACAAGGCCAGTGGATGACAGCCCCCTAGAAGATTCACAAGTCAAAACTGGAGCAAGGTAGCTTCGTCACTGAATGCAGAAAAATGGCACTTCTAGTGGACATCTAGATCATTATTGTAGTATGGCCTATGGCGGCTCTGTCACTGAAAACCTTTAACTTAGCCTGTGAAGAATACGAAAAATACCCACAGTGCTTCCAGCCAGATGCCACTGATAAGCCATCCTCATTAGAAATCAGATGTGGGCAAACAGAATCGTAAAAAATCAGTTTCCTGATTGTACTAAGATCTAAAGGAAATTGCATTTTCTATAAAATTAATAGTTTTTGTTAACTTTTATTTTTATATAATTTCATATTTACAGAAAAATTACAATGATATTACAATTTATTTTATGTCCTACATCCAGATTCCTCAAATGTTCTCATTTTGCCATGGTGTTGCATTCTTCTATTTGTATCTGTATGCATGTACTAGGGATCACTGTTTGTATTCCTTTTTTTTTTTTTTTTAATGTTTTATTGTGAGTTATATGATAGTTTACATGGGAGAACTTTAGTTTTACATTCATTCCATCGTATATCATCTCATTGCCATGGTTCCAATCCCCTCCATGCATCATTAACCACCCAAAGGGTATATCCCAGAAATCCGCCCCCTACACTTCCCCCTCCTCCCCTCAGTTTTCTGCCCACAGTCCCTTTCCCTCTCTGGGTCCAAAGTCCCCAGTCGCTTCATCACTCCACATCATTATCTCTGTCTCTATCTCAGGCATCTCTGTTTCTCTGGGTAGGGTCCTGCTCTCGGCTCTTCACCATTGATGGTCCCAGAGGCCTCCACTCCTATCCTAGAGAATTAATCACTCCCGTCCTTGTTACAAAACTTCTACCTTTGCATTTTCAACCCTCATAGTCTGTCCTGATAAGAATTATTCACTACAGTATCACGAGTTACCCATCTGTATCTCCTTTCATCAGCTCCGCCCAGACAGATTGAATAAGTACCTACTGGAGATTTTGCCTTCCGCCAAGTTCCCTAGTACCAGGTTCCCTCTTGAAAGCTTGTAAGCTGGTCACTTCTTGCCTTTGTAGTTCCCCTCCTCCCCATTTGAGTATCCAATGTCCAAGCTGCCCTACTCCACCCACTCTGTGTGTGGGGGTGTGTGTGAATGTTTCTCGCTGTGAGGATTTGTTCCCTCTTTTGAGTCGCTGCTCCATAGGTATAGGTCAAGTTCATCAGACTGTATCAGCTCACTCTATTTTTTCCCCCCTCTTCTTTCCTCTCCTGGTTGAGCTCCGATCATCCAGTCATCCGGTCCAGGTCACGTGGGTATCATCTGCAAGTGTGGGCGCTCCTGTGCATATGTCCTCTCTTCCCGGCAGCCGGTAGCGCCGCTCTCCTCTCGAGTCCTCCGTGGCCACGCCACTGACTCTGGGCCCAAGAGTCCCCAGGCTTCCTCACACTGCTTGCCAACCAGGTCCCCAACTGGGTCCACAGAAGTCCACTGAACATTGTAGGGCTTAGCTTGCCGCTTCATTGCTGCCTGACCCCACTTCGCCCCATCAGTGATGTGTGTAGTCACCAATGAGAGCGTGCATTTCCATTGAGTCTTAGTCTTGGAAGGGGGTTTGCTTTGAGAGGACCTGGCCACTTGCCTTGATGTTTCCTGGGGAAGCGATTTGTTTGTTCTTGTAGTAACAGTCCATCTGCCTCCATTTTTCCTGCATGTCTTTCTTTCAAGAGGTATCTTTTATTCTTCTAGCTGCTCCAGGCTGGTCTGCTCATCCTTTCAAGTGGAGATTTCTCATCTCTGGAGATCTGGATGTGGTTCTGGTTTCTACCTATGTATTTTCTTTTTTAAGTATATTTTACTGTGTTATGTGAAAGTATACATGGCAAATTGTGTTTCCCAGTTAACAATTTTCAAACATTTTTTGTGCCACTGGTTATAATATTCCCTGTTTCCTTTCTGTTTGTTCTGTTTCTATTGATTGAGCCTCCTCCTTGTCTTTTCTTCCTAGTTTTTAGGTAATGTTGACCATTTGGTCTTACATAGTTGATTGTTTAAGGTAGCAGCACATCAGTCATGGTTGATATTATATAAGCCAACCTATTATTTGACTGAAATGTGGCCTCTAGGAATAACTTTAGTCCCATGTTCAAAGGATATCTTTAGGCGATAGTCTTGGAATTCCCTGGTCTTTATTATACCAATAGGTCTGGCCTTTTTTAGACATTACATTCCCGCCCCCCCCTCAATCTTTCTGGGCCCATCTCTTGTATTGATGATCATAATGGTCAGTAGTGGTAGCTGGTACAACCTAGTTCTTCTGGTCTCAGG